CTCCCAGGGACCCCCAAATCCACACTGGAGGCCCCCAAACCCCTCTGGGACCCCCCCAGGGACTCCCAAAATCTCCCAAAAGCCCCGGGATCCTCCCGGGAACCCTCACACCCCCCACTCACCAGGACGCTCCCTTGGAGACCCCCCCTGTACTCAAAAACCCACCCCAGGCACCCCCAAACCCCTCTAGGACTCCCCCCAGGGACCCCCAAATCCACCCCAGAGACCCTCCAACCGACCCCCTGGCATACCCTAGGGATACCCAAACCAACACCCCTGGGGTCATCCCAGGACCCCCAAACCCAAACCTGGCACCTCCAAACTGCCCCCCAACACCCCCAAACCGACGCTCCCAGGATTCCCAAACCAGCCCCAAACACCCCCAAAAGGATCCCCCAGGGACCCCACCCAGCTGCCCCCCAAAGCGCTCCCAAACCGTCCCCCTGCTCCCCCCAGATTCCGCCCCCAGGACCCCCCACCTGCCCCGTGGTCGCACCTGAGGGGAGAACACCCGCAGCAGTCGGTTCACGGGGGCTCCCTCGTGGTCCCCGTCGAACTCCAGCCAGAGCTGGGGGGGCTCCGCGGGGTCCCCGTCCTGCCCCGCGGGGTCCCCGTCCTGCCCCACGGCCCCCACCAGCTCCCAGCACAGCTCGGGGTACGTCAGCGACAGCAGCACGTGCTGGGGGGCACGGGGGGTCACCCACAGTGCCCCCCTGCCCCCCACCCTGCCCCCCGGACCCCCCCAGTACCTTCTGGCGGGGGTCGATGATGGTGACCCCCTCGAGCCCCACGGCCACGCTGACGGGGCGCAGCCCCCCCCGGCCCAGCAGCCCCCCCGACGGCCGCTCAATGGCTCCCGGGAAGAAGGCACACCTGGAGGGGGGTGGGACACACCTGGGTCACCCCCAAACCCCAATTCTGGCTCCCCCCAAATTCCTGGGTCCCCAGGTGCAGTGTGGGGTCACTTGCGGGGGATCCCTTGGGACTCGGACACTGGGAAACTTGGGGGTCTAGAAGGAATCCTGGGGGGG